CCCGTACCTTAGTCCATTCTGCCGGCACATATTTCCAGGCGACACTCGCTCTGAAAATTTTTACCAAAATTGGCAATAACAAAGGCCTCCCCTGCTGTAACAAAGCAGGAAAGATATTGTCTTCTCTAGGCGATTTGAACCGCTTAAACGTTTGAATTGCCTGGTCCACGGATGTGTAAGTGACGACTTTTCTAGCCACACTCCAATCCGTATTTGAGGTGCGCTTTGCCTTGCAGGAATAGCTCGCTGTGGCATTATCGGCCCTCATCATCAGGCTTCCTGGGAAGTGAGTCTGCATTAGAAGCTCCAACGAGGCTCTGCTAGAGTCCGTAAAACTACCGTCAGGCCGCCTAAGTGAGCCCAGGGGTAGTGCCGGATCTCTAGCGAGAATCTTGTGAATTCTTGCACTGCTGGGTGTGTCTTTCACTCCCTCACAGAACCTCCTCCAAGACTCTCTTTTTGCCTTACGTATGTTTTTGGTGTAATTCGTTAGAGCCTGTTTATATTTCTCCCATTCACCTAATGTCTTGGCCCGGTTGAAAAGCTTTCGGACCTCTTGTCTTTCGGAGCTAAGAGATTCGTTCCACCAGGGTGTGCCCCGATTACTACTTTTCACCTTCAGTGGACTGCTACTGTGATATGCAGAGCGAATTGCCACAGAGATCTGCTCCGTGGCTATTTCAACCTGATCACAGTTCCTAACGGTTGCGATAACACTAGTTAGGTTATCTGCAAGGCAACTCTTAAACAGATCCCAATTAGTGCTACGGGGATTACGGTACGTACAGTCCGATTTCATCCCTAGATCAATTTTAAATTGAATATGTCTATGATCTGAACACGACGGTTCAGAGGATACCCTCCAGGAGGTTATCTTAGAGCTTAATATAATTGAGCTGAACGTAATGTCAAGTACCTCTGCTCTATTTCTGGTAACAAAGGTTGGTTTGGCGCCTACATTATTAACAGTAAGCCCCTCCCCTAATAGGTAGTCAAAAAGTAACTCACCTCTTTCATTTGTGTTGGTGCTTGCCCACATTGTGTGGTGGGCATTGGCGTCACATCCAACAACAACTTGCAGGTTATTCCTCCGGCTGTAGGCAATTATGTCTCGCACAGCGGCCGGGGGAAGGTCATTTTCCGTTCCGGGGAAGTATGCCGAGCAGATGACAATTTCTGTCCAGCCCTTCTCACCTCGGATTCTCAGAACCGCAGCCACACAATCGCGGTCGCTATGCTCTGAGATTAAGAAAGCATTAATGTTGTTCCTGATAAGTAAACAAGCTCTGGGTCTATCTCCTGAGCAAAGTAACTTACCGGATAAATTACCGAGTCCGCTGATGCGCCCGGTATTGGCGAGCCATGGTTCCTGAATGAGGGCAATATCAATTCGCTCACTCATCCAGGTTCTGCTAAGGACAGCCGTAGCCGCCCTAGCGTGCTGCAGGTTTACCTGTAAACAGTTAATAGACTTATCCACTGAGCTGAGTACAGTTTCCCCTACTTACCTCTCGCATGGGATGGAGCAGCCGTCCCACCGGCCCCTCTCATTCCAGCGCGCCCTCTCGAGCCTCGGGCAGGAGTCGAGGACTTTCCTCTTTCTCCACTCTCCCGTGGTGCAGAACGAGCACCTGCACGACGCCCCCTGCTGGACACCCCGGCACGTGCGGATATCCCACCTCGGCCGGGTTTCACACCTGGCGATCTTTTCACGCGCTTGGCGCTTGTTGCCGCGGGAGCTGATGATGTCGACGGGGCGACTGTCACAGCCTCCGTCGTCTCGGTAGTAGGTGCGGGATTCTCCACTCCCTTTCCTTTCAGTCGGAACTGAATTCTTCCATATCCGAAGTACGGCCGCCAGCACAGTTCTTCCAGGGCGTTGCAAGACACTTCGTCAACCGCGAAGGTCCACGTCTGCCCCGGTCCGGATCTGGTGGTGTTCAGAACCGTCCACTCGGATGTTTGGAGTGAGTTGTTCATCACCTCCAATCGGGTTAACACCGTCTCTTTGGTGAGAGGAACATTAGCTTCATCGTCTGGGATATATGCTACACAGACGTGCGGCCTGGGAATATCTTTCCCCTCGACCGCCTTAATCTGGGCACCCTCCCATGGATGAAGGCTATTGGCTGTATTCACAAGCCAGTCCTTCGAGCAGGCATCCGCGCAGGTGACTAAAAGCCAGCCTGGACGCGTCGCACAGCCCTCGAACCGGACTTGTGTTCGCACACCCCCTTTTTGGATGTTGTCTACGGCTGAAATAACCTCCCTCCGTAGCAACCCCACTTGTTCTACATTGAACTGCTGGGCGGGATAGTCTGGGTGGATTAATCCAACCCTGATACCGCTCACAGCAGCTTTGTAAGTCAGCTGCTTCTCTGAAGCAGGTTTGGTTTCCGTCGGCACGATCTCAGCCGGCTTGGGCTTCTTAGCCACTTGCTCGGGCGTCGATCCATCAGAGCGCGCCTTCTTGGCCAAAGGCTTAGAGGTCTCTGCTCTCTTTTCCGATGGAGTGTTGATCTTTTCAATCACCTGCTTGAGGGCGGTCTCATAAGGCACCCCGCTCCCCATAAGCTTGCGCAGGTTCCTTCTAGCGGACCCTGGCAGCCGCAGGCGTTTTTGTTTAAGGGTGAGACTGTCTAGTGCCTTAACAGCCTCCTCCTCATCTTCCTCCCCTTCAGAGTGCAGAAGAACCTGCTCCTCTTCCAGAGAGGGAGAACTAGAACTTGACTTGGGTGCAGACGGTCCGGCTACCACAAGTGTAGATTGTGATGGAGGACTATCCTCCATCTTTATGGTTTCCTTTTCAGGATCGAGGTTTATCCCCCCCTCGTCTAGGGTTTTACTAACACTGGGCGTCTCCATACTAATCCCACGAGTAGGGCAGAAAGGGTAGTCCATCGAGGCAGTGCTCCCATACCCCGATAAGCCTATTGAAACTGAAGGGCGGCAGGTCTCCAGAGTCCGCTTATTAGCAGCCATCACTTCCCAGATGACTAGACCGTCAGATGACAGCCTAAAGTGCTCTGCATAAGCTGTTCCACATTCACTTTGGGGTTTTTAATGAGGTTGTCTCCTCTTGACCCAGGCAATTAAGCCAAGATCCCCCGCATGTCCTACCCGTGGAACAGGTCCACAAACAATAGGCATGCATGGTATAACGGTTTCGACTATATCAGTCGTCCCCGGCCACGTTTCCTCCCGTACAAGCCCTAAGCCACGCGACGACAGCCGGGCGGGAGGCCTGTTTATCGACTGGCAAGTCTAGATCCGACACTTTTGGTATGTTACAGGGGTACCTCGTTAAGGAGCAGTAAAAACTGCAGTGTCGGTCTTGATTCAGGTCATAAGACAAGAACCCTGAGTACGGCAAAACAAGTAGGACAAGCCTACCTAGGATTCACCGCACCCTCACCCCATTACTTATGAACTCCGTATTATAAATGCATAATTTTCTATTAGCAAACGTGTGCTCTTTTATTGTTAATCCAAAACAGAAAACCAAATCTTTCTAGCTTTCACAGTTTCGGCAATATTGCCAAATTTATAAGACGCTGCAAATATTATTTTTTTCGAAAATCGTCATATAATTCAAAAACGATACCAGTTAGACCTAAGGTATCCTTAACAAAGTACTATTGAAATTTCACAAAGCATCCAAAAATGGAATAATATACAGGGTTCCATTTAAAATAACGCCATTACTGAAACTAATTTTAAAATATGTACAATATGATTCTATTCAACTTTTATCTGAAACACTTTTTGAAAAACTCAATCATAATTCGGCTATGGACTGAGGCAACTTAGGTGAGATACCTGAGCTTTGTTCGTTGGGACTACACTACTCTGCACGACATGGCACTCGTATGACGTCATAGTGCAATGAAGTGTAAGTGCAATGTCATGTCAACTTACAAGTGCAGGTCAGAAAAGTGTATAAACCGTGGTCGCAACGAACAGATTATTATAAAAAAAAATGTATAATATTTGAAATGGACGAACAGGAGATTGTCAGCGAAATACTCGTGGAAAATGAAAAAATCATCGCAGAATGTTTTAATTATTATTATTTTTTATTTTTTTCAATTATTAGCGAAATATATTTTCTACACCAAACTACTAACCCTTGTAAGTTCTTTCAAAAGTACTACTTAACGTATAAAGAAATCACATGCTAAATTGCACCAAAATAGATAAGCAGCTTGCAAAAAAAAATTTGGGGTGGTGAGGGTAGTTAACCCCAGCCACCCCTAAATGAGAAAAAACACATAAATTAATATATTTAAATGTACTATAAGTGTATTTAATGCCGCCAAAATCGACAGGGTAGTTTTTAAATTATTCCAAAAAAGTTGGGGTAGTTTTCTACTGGGATTGAATATACTGTGTTCTCTAATACACCAAATATTAATTATTATAAGGTTTTATTTCTTAATATTTAACATTAATATTAACTATTACAAAACACGCTTTCAAATATTCCGCCCTTTTAGTTACGCTGAATTACACTGCACTTATTGAACTTAATCGAAAGCAGGTGCAACAAAATCTGCACTGACTTTCACCCGGTGCACGAAATTGCACTGCGCATGGCCCAACGACCAGTATGAGTGCAACATCACTAAACTACACTATCCCCAACGAACACACAACATCTGCACTAAACTGCTTAGTGCAAGTAGTGCAGTCCCAACGAACAAAGCCCTGTATATTATAGGTTGTGGTTTGAACATTAATCCTACAGAGAATACGTGATTTTAATGTTACAGCAAAACACATAAGGCATAGGCCTGTCAGACCCAACATCTTCACTGTAGGGTTAAGAAAGTCCAACTCACAATAAAATTATTGTCTCTTCAAAATCTTTCCATAATAATAATTTATATACATAAGTTTGTATTTACAAATGACCTGAGATGTTATACACTAAATAAATAACATCTATTTGCTTTAAAGGAGTCTGCACATAATTAATTATATAAATAATAAAATTTATATTAATTAGGAAAATGACTTTATTTACTTAACTGAAAGTAAATTTACTGCATCATATATGCAGTTGACTCGAATATTTATAATAATAAACACTGACAATTCCACTAAAAAGTAGGTAAATATGTATAACCTAAAATTTAGACAAATAACTATATTTTACATCATTAATCTTGCCTTTCCTGCTTCCTATAAGACTCTTTCAACAACTTTAAATTCTCCTCTAATGAAGCTACCTCCTCGAATCGATTAGCTTTTCTAGCCTGATCAATATAACTCCTTACTATATTCATTTGCTGTAACAACGGATCTTCTTCTTCATCTGGAATAGTTTCGTTTACATTAGAAGGTGACCACCCGGTTGTTACTGTAACTTTTCTTATATTAACAGTTGAGTGTCGTTCGGCGTCTTCTAATAGAGTATATCGGTTTTGTTTTGCTTTTTCTAATTCTTCCAACGTAGGGACGGCCGGCAGTGTTAGGACGAAGTCTTTTACATAATGCGTTATAGATCTTCTAATTGAATATTGTAACATTTGTAACTTTGACGAATCATCAACTGGAAGTGTAGCTATTGCTTGACTTATTGCGTCAAGACTTTCTATTTCTTTTGCTATTGAACCTTTTAATGCTTGTACATCTTGTAAATGGTATGTTGTATCTCCAGATGATAGTGATAAATGCATCTAAAAAAAATTTTGTAACAAAAATTAATTACTGGTGTGAAGTTATCCATAAATCCCAGCCATAAACTTAAAACATTAATAATTCCGTAACCAATACGATTTGGATAACCAAATTTCACACACAGGTCACTCTTACCCTCAAAAACAGCTTACCACCACCATTTGGTAAAAAAAAAATTTTCACCCCTCACCCCCGAAAAAGGAATGTTTTCGCCCTGATGGGCACCTTCGAATTAAACCAAATTCTACCACATAATAGAACACACTTCTAAGTATTTTTATCAATTTTCAAAACACCGTAAGCCCTAATGGTTTTCGAGAAAAAAATCATTATTATAAACCGCGGATGGGACTTTAGGGGTGAATTTGATCCCGATGGGCACCTCCAAAATTGATGAAACTTTAGGATGATTTAGAGGATGCCTTTAGCGATTTAAATCGACCATCCAAACACCGTAAGATATAACGGTTTCCGAGAAAAAAATTTGTTATTAGACACTATAGGTATACAGCGCGGCGCGGACTTTGGGGGTGAATTTGACCCCGGTTGATTTGGAGTGTGGATTTTTGATAGAGAAAGAAATTTATTATATTAATGGTCTGTTTTACTTATAATTAAATTGTGTAATGGATTGAGAATATGATTATAATTACTTGCTACCGCGTTCCAGACCGCTTCCAACCCTTGTTCATTTCAGTGAATGGCATCCTATGTAGAAATTTGTATTAAATACATAAGAAAAGAAACATTTTTACGTTGTGTTACCCTTCCATCATGTTTCTGTTAACAATTGCTTCAATGTCGGTACAATTGATTTGCTTTTCAGCACAAAACCGTCGAATGTAATGATTGATTTCCTATAAAGGCATGGAGAGTATTTATTTATAGCATGACATAGAAATTATAATATCTTACGTTCACAGACTCGAAGTTTTTGCAGGGAGGAAATGTGCAAATTTGTATTCCTTTAGGATTTAAGGAAAGAAGGACGCTTCCTTCTTTCCTGAGAATATTGAATAGGGTCAAAACGTGCCCTATTATGAGTTAAACATATTCCCCAAATTTCATTTTCCTAGCGTTTATGGTTTTTGAGAAAAAAAAATTAAAACAAAAATTTTCGCCATTGTTGAGGGGTGATTCACTAAAGAATCACCCTTGAAGTTTGTTGCAGTCATTCAGATACATCCTGTATATTTAATACCAACACTTATACACAACATACAGTGTGTCCCCGGATTGTGTCCCCGTAACGTATAATTGACGATAAATTTTTGAATTCAAATTCCATCTTTTGCAATTAAAGTCTGGATGTCATAAAACGAAATATAACCAAGTTTTACGTCAAACGTCCTCAAAGTACCAAAGTTAACGCAAGAAGTTTGTTAACCGGTGCAGGTAAACTGGTCTTTTTGAGCAATGTACCACAAAAGTTGATGAAGATAAAATGTCATCAAACAAACACTATTATGGATTTTTATTTTTGGGGTTATGTAAAACAAAAAGTGTACACTGAAAATTTTAATAACAATTTAGACCGTTTAAAACAAAAATTAAAACAGTTATTAGAGAAATTCCGTTGGACCATATTAGAAAAAGTTATAAACAATGTCGAAAAAGGGCTGAATTATGTTAGTGTTGGTGGTGGTCTCATTGAATAAGCTTAGTTCGAAAATGTTTTGTTAATCTTATAATTTAAAAATCTGCATTTTGCTTTTATATCCTAAATTAATAAAATTCGGCATATCGCTATAATTTAACATAACAAACATTTTATCTTAAATATACAAAAAATAAGTCTA